GAGGCTTAGGGACACCCAGAGCATGGGACTGTGTCCCGGACCATCTTGGCTAATAGCCATTGATGGACCCATCCTCCATGAATGTATCTAATTCTTTTTTGAACCCAGTTATAGTCTTGGCCTTCACAATAGCCCCTGGCAATGAGTTCCACAGGTTGACTATGCATTGTGTGAAGTAGTTCCTTAGGTTTGTTTTTAACCTGCTGCCTGTAGCGTCATTGCGTGACCCCTGGTTCTTGTATTATGCGAAGGGGTAAATAATACTTTTTCTCCAACATGCATGATTTTATAGACCCCTATCATATCCCTGCTTAGTTCTCTCTTTTTTTTTTGTTTTTTGTTTTTTTTTCCAAAGCAGAACAATCCCAGTCTTTTTAAGCTCTCCTCATATGGAAGCTGTTCCACATCCCAGTCATTTTTGTCACCCTCCTTTGTACCATTTCCAATTCTAAAATATCACTTTTGAGATGGAGCTACCAGGATTGCATGCAGTACGGAAGGTGTGGGTGTGCCCTGGATTCATATAGTGGCATTATGATAAGACAGAAAATATCTCTCCCATTCCTAACAGTCTGTTAGCTGTTTTGACGGCCGCTGCACATTGTAGCTAGTTCTTTGAAAACATCTGCTTAGTAACTCCAAAATCTTTCTTGAGCGGTAACAGCTAATTTACACCCCCATCATTTGATATGTGTAGTTGGGATTGTTTTCCAATCTGCCTCCTTTTCCTCAGTGTGCACAGACAGACGGCTGGGGGCGGGGAAGGCAGGTTCTGCACTGGCATCCTGCAGTGTGGGCCCTGGTTTGTCCCCGAGTCAGGGGATCTCCCTGGTAGGGAGCAACGGCGGGATGTCCTTCCTAGGCGTGGGGTCCCCCCTACGAGCGCTGATGGGCTCCACGTCAGAGCCGAGCCAATCAGAAAGGGGAGTGAGGGTCTGTGGAGCCAATCGCTTCCTTGGGGATGCGCACGCAGGAGGCGGTTGTTGTACTGCGCAGGCTCCAGGTCTGCAAGGGCTCGGGCCGCCGGCTCGGGTCTAAGGTGAGGGCCGGGCAGCGCGTGTCTCTGAGCTGGGTCAGGGACGCGCTGAGTCAGCTCCAGGGATGCGGCCACCCCCAGGCACTGCCCTCTCCCCTTCCTGGTGAACCTTTGGCTCCGGCTGCTGGCGGGTTGGCGGCGCAACCAGCTGGAGATAGCAGGGCTGGGGCTGCAGCATCTATCGCAGGTGCCGGTTTCCCCATGTGGGGTGGGGGGGGGGCAGGAGCAGGACCCCGCCGGAGACAGGAGAGGGGGAAGCTGGAGGGGGGTTGCAGCTATTTCCCTTCCCCCACACCCCCCGGCATCATGGCGGCAGTGGGCAGGGCTGGAAGGGGGGAAGGAAAGCGGAAACAGGTTCCCTGTGGGGCACCGGAACTTCTGGAGCAATGGCGGCCCTTGGTGAGGGAGGGGAACAGCCCCGAGCCGCCCGCGGAGGAACACGGGCCTGGCCCAGCGACCTCTGTGGCGGCCGTGGAGAGCTCAGCCCGGGACTCAGGGGGAGCACGTGAGCACGGGGCAGGACATGCAGTTGTAGCCCTGGGTGTGCGTAACTGGGAGCCCAAACAGCCCCCGCCCGGTCCCAGAGCTCTCAGTGCAGGGAGGGGGAGTCTGCCCCCCCAACCCATGCAGAGCCCCCTCCCCCCACACCTAGCCCCCAGAGCTGTCAGTGCGTGGGGGTGGGCTGATGTCCCTCCAAGCCCTACACTGGGGTAGTCAATAGGCGAACCACGGGCCAATCCGGGCCACCAAACACTTTTTTGAATGGACCGTGAAATCTTTTTATTTACTTATCATTACAGTTATTTTTTTTTTGGTATTATTTTCTCTGGCGTCTGGATCTTTACTACACCTTGACCAAGAAATGTGGACCTTGACAAAAAATAATGGACCACCCCTGCCCTATGCAGAGCCCCCCCGCCCCACTTCCAGAGTTGTCAGTGCTGGGGGGGAGTGAAACCCCCCAGCTCCATGCAGATCCCCACCCCTCAGAGCTGTCAGTATATGGGTGGGAGGGAGCAAGGCAGATTGATTTAAATTAACCAGATTTTAAATTTCCATTGTTAATCATAATTTAAAGCAGCAAGCAGGTACCTCCACTTAAACTGACAGTTTTCATCTAGTTTGCCATTTTTACTTTTTAGTTACTTTTCCTAAAGGGAGGCTGATTCTCATAAACTGATAACCATTAAAACCTGTAGGTCTACATCTAAATAAAGCGTTTACAGTAAATTTGATATTTTTTCTTAACCAGGAGGATACACTGTATCTATACATATTAATTGCTTAAATAATAAAGCTACATGTACAAGTATTCAGATTTTTAACTTTTAATTCTTGTGAATTTTTTTGTTTTTGGTCAAGCTTTATTTGGATGGAATCAGAATTCAATTAAACTTGAAAATTCAGCATTTAAATGTTTTAAATAAAAATACCTTAAATATGCTGGATACGTTAGGGGGAAAAAAGGTTATCAAAACATGTTTTGCATTTAAAACTGATTACTTAAAGTCATGTATCGTGGCCATGACCAGGGATCTTAGCTGCTATGATGATAGAAATAAATAAATAACAAGGTAATAATTACCTGTAGTTAATGAATTGAACTGATTGTTTTTAGTCACCATGGGTGGGATCAGCAAAAGTACTTAGATGCCTAAATCCTAGTTTCGTCTGCGCTGCAATCCACAAAACTTCAGATGAACCCGATAGGCCCCTAAACTCCCTTGGCACCTAAGTTTATGAGACTAAAAGTTCTCTAGGTGTCTGTTTTAGCCTTTGAGGACATGCACTGCTGCCTCTTGGGACTCATCTGGACATCCCAGGTGGTGACCTAACCACTGGACTAGAAGTTATAATGTGGCATCTCCTCTTTCTCTGGCTTTTGTGGTCAGTAGCCTCCCTGTGGTTTAGGTGCCTATTGCTGAGAGAGGGGCAGGGTTTAGGACACACCCCACTGGTAAGTATCTCCCATTGATTGGCTTAGGTGGCTCCCCACCTAACAGACTGGCTCCCCATTCATTTTATAGGTTTCAGAGTAGCAGCCGTGTTAGTCTGTATCCGCAAAAAGAACAGGAGTACTTGTGGCACCTTAGAGACTAACAAATTTATTAGAGCATAAGCTTTCGTGGGCTACAACCCACTTCTTCGGATGCATATAGAGTGAAACATATATTGAGGAGATATATATACACACATACAGAGAGCATGAACAGGTGGGAGTTGTCTTACCAACTCTGAGAGGCCAATTAAGTAAGAGAAAAAAAACTTTTGAAGTGATAATCAAGATAGCTCAGTACAGACAGTTTGATAAGAAGCAAGTGTGAAAATACTTACAAGGGGAGATAGATTCAATGTTTGTAATGGCTCAGCCATTCCCAGTCCTTATTTAATCCTGAGTTGATTGTGTCTAGTTTGCATATCAATTCCAGCTCAGCAGTCTCTCGTTGGAGTCTGTTTTTGAAGTTTTTCTGTTTTAAGATAGCCACCCGCAGGTCTGTCATAGAATGGCCAGACAGGTTAAAGTGTTTTCCCACTGGTTTTTGAGCATTATGATTCCTGATGTCAGATTTGTGTCCATTAATTCTTTTGCGTAGAGACTGTCCGGTTTGGCCAATGTACATGGCAGAGGGGCATTGCTGGCACATGATGGCGTATATCACATTGGTTTTATAGGAGCCTATGTGCCTAAATCAGCTTTGTGGATCACACTGGTGTTTCTTGGATTTTCTAGCCGCCTAAAAGCTAGGAGCTGTGAGGCAATGCCTGAGTCCTTTGTGGCTCCCACTCCATGTTGGTTAGGACTTTCGAGCAGTGGCTCTCAACCTATTTACCATTGTGGGCCACATCCAATAGTATCTGTATGGCCCTGAGGTGTCGCATGGGCCGCAGCCGTGTGCTAATTGGGCCGCAGGTTGAGAACCACGGCTATAGAGCTCCCCTTCTCACACCTAGTTTTCATCCATAGATTGGACGAGCAAAACAAGCTTTGCTGCTTTTTCAACTCCCAGTCGGTTTCTTAACTTTGAATAAACTGAAATGAAGAGAATAGTCTCTGCACCTGCACAAGAGGCTACTGCTGTCCAAAGCTGCTTTAACAAACTCTGTCACCGGTGCTTAGCCAGTGACTGGCACCAGTTCAGTGACTTGACTTTCTTCAAAACTTCATCAGCAAACATGTTCTGCTGGAATATTATTCCTTTTAATTTAAGTTATTTTAATGGATTATGGTAAGTTTAGGCCTTAACATACTGTTATTTCAAGTTTAATTTTAAATTGGTTTCTTTTAAAACCGTATTTATTTAAATAAAAACAAATTTTAAACCACTGATTTTTATCCAACTGGGGGGAGGGGGAGACTGTGTCCCTGAGAGTCCTTCCAAGGTGCTGTGTCTGTGCCCCTCTCAAAGCTGCATCTCAAACTCACCCCCCACCCCAAACTTCCCAGAGTTGCCAGTGCAGGGGGAGGCACTACACACAGCTCTGCATTGTGTGCCCCTCACTCCAGACATAAACGGCGTGTGCACATCCCAGCCTGCACTCCACACCCAGCGTCCGTGTGTCCCTCTCCTGCCCAACTCCCAATTGAGGAGTGAGAGGAAATGGGGAATCTTCAATGAGGGGCCTGATGACACAGGAGGGGGTTATGTACCACACTGTGCTGGGCTTTTGTTCTGAGGGACGGGGGGGATGGGACACCACAGACAAACCCCACTGACCCTTATACTGTCCTGACTCTGTCATTGCAGATTCTAGGTCAGCTGGGAGAGGAGCCAAAGCCAGGAACACTTTAGCTGTCTGGAACCGACTCTGCCATGGCTGCGTAGAGCCATTTCCTGCAACTGGCTCCGAGTTGATCAGAGCCCAGCACCCACCACTGCCTCACTGAGAGGAGAGATGGGGGAGGGAGCGGAAGCAGATCCCCTTGGACAGCCTCTTACCAATGCCATAGACTTGAAGAGTGGAGGAGAACCAGGTAACTGGAGGTTCCCTGCCTAGGAACAGGCTGGAGAGAGGAGATGCCTTTCAGGGGTGGGTGTAGCTGTCTTTCCTCCTCCTCCCACCCACCCCCGCCCCGTGCAGCAGAGGCTGTATTGCTCCAATGGACTCGGCTCGTGCTGCACATGCTCTCTTGTGTGGCAGGTGCACGTATGGTTTCTAGGACTGCACATGTTCTACCCCCTTGAAAACGTTTGGCTCATGTCTTCCTGGGTCACTCTTGTCACTGCTCTTTCCTTCTGGTTGGTTGTCCTTCCAGTGTGTGAGTTGAGGTGTTTGCACTCATAACCCATGCAGACAGGGCCGGCTCCAGGCACCAGCTTGTCAAGCAGGTGCTTGGGGCGGCCGCTCCGGAGAGGGGCGGCACGGCCAGGTATTCGGCGGCAATTCGGCGGACGGTCCCTCACTCCGCCTGGGAGCGAAGGACCTCCCGCCGAATTGCTGCCGCAGATCGCGATCGTGGCTTTTTTTTTGTTTTGTTTCGTTTTGGCTGCTTGGGGCAGCCAAAACCCTGGAGCCGGCCCTGTATGCAGAGCCTGCCTCCGTGCATGGCCAGGAGCAGGTGTAGCTGCCTGTAGCCACAGCGCATTCACTTGTGTTTTGCCAGTGAATTTATCATGCCCTCAGATGTCTCTGGGCGCTAGGGAAGAGGATTTGCTAAGATTGAACTCCAGCAGGGGTTCCCTGGATTCACTCTCCCTGGGACGCAGGCGCTCTTCCAACGTTCCTGCCAACCTTTGGTTGTTAATTATGGCAACTCTGGATATTCATGTTAACCATATAAATGCTCAATCCCTTTAACTTTCCTAAATTCTTTCCATCAATTTCCTGTGGCAGTGAGTTCCACAGTCTAATTATACATTGGCTGGAAAAAATAGTTCCTTTCCCAACTCTTTAATCTAATTGAATATCCCTGTCACACGGTCTGCACAGGTTTCCACTCTCCCATGGGAGGGGCCTGTGTTGGCTTTCTTCAGTGCTTCACCTAGCCACAGGGCCCAGGTCGCCCACACCCAGCCGGCCGCTGTAGCCACCCATTCGAAAGTCCCCAGGGATGCATCTGGGTCATCTGTGGGGCCCATCTTGCAGAGCCCCACCCCGGCATCCTGGTCCTGTCCCCCAGTGCCAGACTCACCACCTTTTGGAGGATCTGTTGGGTCGCTGACTGTTCCCTGATAAACTCCTGGAGTGTCTGCTGTTGGTCTGCCTGCCATATCATCAGGGCCTGCCGTTCTGTCTGTTGGGACTGTTGCATTTCTTGCACCGTGGTCACCAGCCATTTTAGGGTCTCCTCCATGCCGGCAGCCACTATTAGCGATGGCTAGGAGGATCCTGGACAAGCCCCCAGTGTCACAGGGTCTACACAGGTTTCCACTCTCTCATGTCTGGGCCCTGTGTTGGCTGGTTAAACTAAAGAGTCCCCACGCCTTCTTCAGTGCTTCACCCTTGTGTCTTTATTTACAGTGCAACAGTGTTATCTCCCCTTCTCCCCCAACAGCTATCCCCAGTCAGACCCTCCCAGGGTCTCCTGGCCCGTGAGGCTCCTTTCTTTTGGTGAGGTGACAGAGATGTAACCCTCCCAGGCTAGCCTCCTGATTGAGCTTTCCTCAGGGCTTTTATAGCCCTCCTCAGCCCAGCTGTCGCTACTTAACTCAACTCATAGGAGTGAGCCAGCCCTCATCTGGGCCTGTAGCTGGGCTCTCTGCTGACTACCTGGGCCCCCTGCACCTGGCCTTCCTACCAGACATTAGGGCTTTAGCCAGCATTTTAGCAGGGTGTTCAAGGGGTTTACCCCTGCCCTGCCATAATCCCCTTGTGACATTACTGACATAACCTGTGACCATATAGATCATTGTTGCAACCACTGTTATATATTTGCAGCAAATATTATACAAAGGTTGTTGTGTAAGGTGTCTATGGAAAGGTTATGATTTGCTGGTTATGATTAGGCTATCTGTGTGTGTGTGTGAATTTTTGTAGTTGAAGTTATAAATATTGGCTATGTACTTGTATATCAAGGTGTTTTGATTCTAAGAAGCCTCAGTAAAACATTTGGTCAGCTAACTCTTGAGAAGGGACTATTCTCAGTAAGTGCCCAAACAAGAAACACTTAAGAGACAGTGAACCTTGGGAGATGCCAATCCACATCTGAGCTTTCCTGAAAAGGTTCAAACTAGCATGTAAACAATGGCTTCAGCCTGCAAACTGAGTCATGCATGGACATGTGACTTGCCCATGTGACTCCAGACTCCATCTTGCTGCTGGAATTTTCCACAGTAAGAACAAAGAGGTGTCCTCCTAGGGCAGAGAGTATTAAAAGCCCTAGAAACTCCTCCATCTTGTCTTCCCTCCTGCTTCATACCTCCGGAGGGACTTTGTACAAACTGAAGCTCTACACAAAGGACTGATGACCCATCCCAGCTGGGGATGTATTCCAGAGACTTGATTTGAACCTTCAGTTTATTCCATCACTGCTACAAGCCTGAACCAAGAACTTTGCCATTACTGTATGGAATTGATTCCATTTAACCAATTCTAGCTCTCATCTATATTTCTTTTATGAATAAACTTTTAGAATCTGTTTATCCTGTCCCCTCTCATTCACCTCCATCTATGGTGAACAATCCTAGGCTTTTCAAACTCTTGTTGTGGATTTTCCAGGCCCTTGATCATCCTCCTCTGAATTCTGCAGGGTCCTTTCTGGGGATTAATTGAGCTGGTGATTTGGGGCATGATGTTCTCCTTTGCAGTCTGAATGGGAGTTCGAGTTAATATTTGTGTCCAGAGCTGGGACAGAACCATTTAAGATGTCAAAATAAATATCTGGTGTGTGTCAGATCAGAGCCTGATGGCAAACAATTCTAGTTTGAGTCAGGATAGCTCAGTGGTTTGAGCATTAGCCTGCTAAACCCAGGGCTGTGAGTTCAATCCTTGAGGGGGGCCATTTAGGGAACTGGGTTTTAAAAAAAAAAGTCTGGGAATTTGCCATGCTTTGAGCAGGGGGTTGGACTAGATCTCCTGAGGTCCCTTCCAACCCTGATACTCTATGATTAACAGGTTTTGATCTTCCAGGTCATCCAGCTAATTCCAGCTCCAGAAAACCTGCAGTATGGGAACGTCCAGCTGTCCTCAGAGCCATAACCGTGGTTATGACGGTCGTCGTCATTGCTCTAGTAGCAATTTTGATAGGTAAGTTCCCAACCCCCGATGATTCAGTCTCTGGGTGTGGAGCTTTCTTCCTTCGCGGCTCACAGGTCCACCTCATCTGTCCCTGGCCTCTCTGCTTTAGCAGTCAGGTCAGACAGGAGTCTCTCTAGGCCTCCCCCACTCCTTTTCCCCCAGGGCCGGTGGAGTGTCTGGGGCTCCCCACAGCAGCCCGGGTTCCCTGGGTGGCTCTTACCACACCCCAGCTCTGGCTTCTGGCCTGGCCAGGTGGCAGAGCCTCGGAAGGGAAGAGGAGCAGAGGGTGGGGCCCCATGGTGGGGGGAGGGGAACTAAGGCCCACCTCAGCCCCCCATGAGGCTGGTGCCGCTAGCAGGGGCTGTGCGTCATGGCGGGGAACTGATCCCCCTTCTCAGCTCCCCAGCTGTGAAGCGCAGCCCCTGCCTCCGCCACCACTGTGCCTGCCCGAGACTCTACGCCCAGGTTAACAAGTGGGCAGGCCTGGCCCTCCCGCGTTAAAACATGGGGGGGCATGGCCCCCCTTACTACTCCAGTTCCAGCGCCCCTATCAGACATACTCCTCCCTGGCTCTCACCTTCCCCATTCCCTTCACTGCACACTTTGTACATCCCCAGCCCGATGGGGGCTGTGGCCTGGTTGGCCTCTGGCACTACCGCAGTGTGTGTGTTATAACAAACTCCAACTACACTGCTTGTCGGATTGGTGGCCATGTCCTCTGAAGCAGCTGTTGCTGACCACTTTCAGACTGGCCCCTCTCTCCCATCAGTCTGATCCCATCGGGCAGTTCTTGTTTCTGGCCCTGCTTGTTCTCCACAGAGCTGAGAGACGGGCCGATCTCTCACCTTGTGTTTTGTTTTTTCCAGTGGAAAAATCTAGGCCGTCTCCTCCATGCCCCCCTGCCGCCTCCTGGTGCCCGGACGGCTGGATCCGGATCCAAGGGAAATGTTACTATTTTTCTAAGGCCGAAGGGAACTGGACCTACAGCCGGAGCTTCTGCTCGTCACACGCTGCCTCCCTGGCTGGGATTGAGAGTCCGCAGCAGCTGGTGAGAAGCCCGGATAGATGCTTTGTGCCAAGCCCAGCGATCGCTGGCACCACAGACAGGGCTGGAGTCAGGCTGGGCTCAGCCCCTGTAGGGCAGAGAGGAGCCCGGGTGCCTTCCAGGCTGGGCGGCCAGAGTCAGTGCGGTTCTGGCAGCTGAATCCTGGCTGGACCTGGGGCTCCAGCCACCTCGACCCTGCATCTGCCAGAGCCCAGGTGGGAGACTCCCCCTGTGCAGGGCTGGGCTGCCTCAGTCAGCTCCAGGCCAATGGGCTGCCTGGGGGGTGGAGGGGGTGAGAACCTGCCCCCCCCAGCTCAGCCCCGCCCCAGGGTTCCCTCCTGGGTGGGGCGGGGGGAATCCAGCTGAAGGTGAGGCCGGCTTTATTCCTCCTCTTCTCTAGGGTTGCCAACTTTCTAATTCCTGACAACTCAACACCACTGCCCCACTCCTTTCCCCGAGGCCCCACCCTCTGCCCCGCCTCTTCCTCCAAGGCCCCACCCTCTACCCCACCTGCCCCCACTCCAATCACTCGTTCCCCCATTCCCCGGGACTCTCCTGCCGCCCGCAGAGCTGAGCTGGGAGGAGCTGACATGGAGCCTGTCCCCCTGCCCAATCGGGGCACAGGGGGGCACGGCAGGGGTCAGTCCCTGGAGCGAGGGGCTGGGGAAATTGGGGCACAGTAGGGCAGCGAGAGGCAGACAAGTCTCCCCCCTTCCCCTCAGACGGCGCTGGTCCGGTACCTACTTTGGAAACCGGTCCAGCAGCCAGCAAGTTCTCTCCATCAGGCTGCGGGATGGGAAGAGTCGCAGCTGCTAAGCAGAGCCTGCTCTTCCCACCCCCTGGTGGTGGAGGCTGGTTGCTACAGGTAAAGGCTGCCCGTTTCTCTTTTCGACCAAACTTTCTGGTAAAAAAACGGACACTTGGCAACCCTACATTGTCCTCTCCTCACTTCCCTGCCCTGGTGGCAGGGATATCTCTGCCCTCACCCTCCAGCTCCCTTCTCCCTCCTCCCCCCCGGCCCTGCTGTGCTCTGAGAAGGGGCTGCTGGGCGGACAGTGACCTTGCAGCTCAATTCCTGCTTCACCCAGTAGGTGCCACAGCCCCGAAAAGAAGACTGGGGAGGGTGAAGGGTTAATACTTACTGGTTCCCTTCACCCAATAACAAAGGCCAAAGTCTCTAGAAATCTCCCGCTGCCCACAGCCCTGGTGGGTGTTGGAGCAGCACAGAGTCAGGGCCTAACACAGCTGATTGCGTCTATTGGGTTTCTAAGGGTTCCCTGCTGCCCTACAAAGGCAAACTGGACCACTGGATCGGCCTCCGGAAGGACACGGGCCAGGTTTGGAAATGGGTCAACGGGACCGAGTTTGACCATCGGTGAGTCTTTTTCTCTGTGTTGGTCAGATGTGATGTAAATGCCCCACTGGCTGCTTTAACTTCCCCTCTTGCCGGGAGCGGGGCCTGGTGCTCGTGCAGGGAGGGGGGGATCCTGAGGGGCTGTGAATGCAGCAGCTCCCTCCCTGCCTGGCACACACTGACTCTAGCTCCAGTTGTCTCTGGGTTACAGGTTTGAGATACAAGGAGGACCAGACTGTGCGTTTCTGGACGAAGACCTCAACGTCATGACCTCCAGCTGCAGCTCACTGAGAAAATGGATCTGCAGTAGACCTGATACCCCTGTGAAGGGAGAGGAGCATGGAGTGGGAGGGGATTCGTGAGCTCAAGGGAATCAGAGACTGTTAGGATATAATGCTCTAATAAATGTGTTAGTCTCTAAGGTGCCACAAGTACTCCTGTTCTTTTTGCGGATACAGACTAACATGGCTGCTACTCTGAAACCTGTTAGGATATAGATATTCAAGGCAGTCTGGCCTATACTTTAAGAATTTAGGTGTATTCTTATCACTTAGCTAGTTATAGAGGTGTAAAAGAAAGAATCAAAATCACTTTTTGTATGTGTAAGGGCCTTCTCTCACTGTGACAGTCTGAGGCCTGGTTCTTAGGCTAAGGCCTTCGGCTAAGCGGCAGAGGCAGCCATAAACTGGGAAGTGAACGGTCACATCCTCACATTCCAAACGTGTCACATGGAAATAAGATGCTATTGGGCTGTTAGGAATATCAGGACAGGATTGTATTCCTATCACCTCCAGAGAAAGGAAAGAGCCTAGAAGATGTAAAAGGAAATTTAGGTTGATAGTTTTCTGTCTGCTAAGAACTCACTTATCAATAGACACAGCTGGGAAACCCTTATGTCTGTATAGATGTCGTTGTGAAATCCTCACTTCTGTATTGTTTTGTATGTTTATTTGCATGGTCTCTGTCTGGTTCTGTAATTGTTTCTGTCTGCTGTATAATTAATTTTGCTGGGTGTAAACTAATTAAGGTGGTGGGATATAATTGGTTAGCTAATCATGTTACAGTATGGTAGGATTGGTTAGTTAAATTTCAGTAAAATGATTGGTTAAGGTATAGCTAAGCAGAACTCAAGTTTTACTATATAGTCTGGAATCAGTAAGTAAGGCGGGGAATGGGAACAGGGACTGGGGGAATTGGGATCATGTTTTATTAAACACACCTGAAATCATCCCTCTCCCAGAGGGGAGTCTAGTAGCCAGCGACCCTTCCAGGCCCTCCCTGTGGGGTTGGGATCGCCCCTCTGCCTAGAGCAGGTCCTGTTTGTTTGAATCAAAATGAAGGTTGTGAATCTATTTCAACTCAGCATTTGTGTGTCCTAAGTTCTGTCGCAGTCTCTGGAAAAACCCCTGTGAGCCAGTGTGTGGGAATCAAACGTTCCAGGGTGCGATCCCAACCAGGGAGAGGCTGTGTCACCGCTTGCCCTGCAGCCTGGCGTGCCTCACGATCCTGTGCAGAAGCTCCCAACCTGGGCCAAACAGCCTGCAGGTCACACCCTGAGTGGCTGTGGATAGCCACAGCCCTGGTCCAGCAGCCTGTCAGCAAGCACTAGCCCCACTCTGGCTTCCAGCAGCCTTGATCACTACTTGCAGGGTGACCCCAACACACTCCCAGTCCTGGACTTTCCCCCAGAACATGTTCTGCACTGTCCAGCCCTCTCCTGGACAGCCCAGATCTACTATGTCCATTGCCCCTCACAGAGGAGCAACATACACAGTCTGCTACATTAAATAGAGTTACACTAAACAACCTAGACTTGGTTCAAGGTGATGTCCCTCACCACAGGTTCACAGTAACGTTGCTGACCAAACTCTCAAGCCAGGATCTGCTCCCAAAGTCCAACATCTTTTTCTTTTGTTATCTTAGGTGAAAAGAGAGAGCTGGGTAGGGAGAGGGAACATGGGGTGTTTTTGCCCCTCACTTTTATAGTCCAGTCCCCCTTTGAGATGCAGTTTCCTGAAGGACACCCCCCTCAAAGCAAAGTTTATTCCAACAGTAAAGAAGATGACATGATGTCTGGTGGTGAAAAGTTCTGTGCTGTTTCTTCTCTCCTGTTTCCTGAAATGCAGATTTTCCTTGTCTCCTGTCTTCCCTCTCTCACTGTCTGAGGACCCTGTTTACAACGTATATGTAAACTGAGTGAAACACACATTCCTTTGTTTAAGATCTGCTTGACCAGTTCTTCCTAAGCAGGGCTATATGTGTCAGAATGTGTGCTACCAATATCATTTAGGGAGAATTCATAACTTTACATATAATGTTGCTACATCCATTTCCCCATGATATTATTGACCAGCAAGTTATTAGTTTTCAGATGATGCCTTTAAAAAGTGTATTTTGTATAAAGATTATGACACTAGTGTGTAGGGGTGTGAATATTATATTACAATAGTGAATACAGCTGTGGTCACCCTCCCCCATGGAGTAGAACACAAGCATCGAGAAGCCATTCATAAATTTGACACACTGGTCCCCAAAGAGACTGCAGGGGGTTGCAATTTCCCAGACCCTCTGCTGGGGATCATCTCTTCAGCGCCAGCCTGAAATTTCCCCCCTTGCTCAATTCATCCCATTGGCTCCAGTTGCCCCCTGGGGCCTTTAATGATTTCTTGCACTTCTGGGGTTTGCACCCTTCAGACTGGGTCATGGCTCCTTGCTGTATCCACAAACCGCAACACGTTCCTGTCTGCAGACTGCAACCCCTGGGGTGCCATAGGTTGGCTTTGGCCCTGGGTGTTGGATTTTACATGGTGTTGGCACTTTCAAGCTTTGTTCATCTCCACTATCTACAGCCAGCAATGCAGCTGTGCTGCCCTGTGAGATACAGACTGTGGATGTCTTCATGCAAACCCAGCCTCTGAATTTGTGCCTGGAAGCCTCCTTTTGTGACAATGTGGCCCTAGAGACAGCTTGCAACACTTTTATTTTATTTTTTTCCAGGAGGTTCCTCTTTCCCCTCCCTGCCAAAACTTGTGCTGCCCCTGGTCACTGACTGCCGATTCTCACATCCGCAGGCTGCACTTCAGGGATAGATTTCTTTAAGGAACTTTTTAATGTAAAATATTTTCTTACATGTCTTCTTTAAAGATACTGCAATTCTGGAATGTTAATTTTAAACAAATGCTAATTATTGCAAATTCCAGAGGGCAGATTGTTGCTGCTTGAGTTAGGTGCCTTCTCCGTAGCTTTTTGAGCAATCGGATATTTATTGCACTTATTGAAGTGGTTTGTGTCCTGCACGGAGGTACCCTAAGTGACCACTAGATGTCACTGCACTGCAGCAAACTGCTGAGAGAGAGAAGGCGCTGAGGTTACCTGTTGAGGTGCTGTAAGCTGATTCACACACAAATTGTTTCAAGTGGAAATGGAAATCTTTTAGGCCAGTGCTGCTGTTGCATTGATGGGTGATTCTCTCCCTGGTACCCTTGTTCTCCAGTGAATTCAGAGATCCTTTGATCTGAAAAACTTCAGAACAGCATGAGCATGAACCACAACTACTACTTAGGGATCAGCAAACGGAGAATGAGGGTGTGTGTAAGAAACCATTGCATACTGTCGCTATCAAATTCAGAACCGGGCCAGAGAGATGGAACAAAACTGGGAGGGAGAGAGAAAATCTCGTTCATTACATAGCATAAGGTGCTTTCTGCTTTTCCCCACACAGAACAGAGAAATTGTGAGAGCTGGATCACCTGGGGTCTCTGTATCACGCTATAGCACCACGCTGTTGTGTAATATTTTTCCTTTTGTGGTAATCATGAAGTGCCCAGGATATTATTAACAAGAGCGTTGGAATCCGAAATGGAATCACCATGGAAATGGGGGGGGGGATTTTAGAGTGTAGCATTTTGCACAAATTAATTTTTAACTACTTACTCCAAACACCCGTCACTATCACAGCACCTGCCAGGATGAGGATCCCAGCTGCTCCAAGCCTCAGAGCGAGCCGATGCCAGCGTGGCCACTGAGGGTGATCTGTAAGAGTCAGTCTTTGGTGAAATGTCTTCAGCCCATAGTGAAAGAAATAATAATGGGCACCCGCTGTCCTGTGGCGCTTTGTGCAGCACCCTCCAGTGTTCTTGTAAGAGACGTGTTTAGGCTTCAACACAGGTTTATTTGTAAAAATAAATAAATAAATAAACCTGTTTTAATTTAAATAATCAAAATTTGATCTGTTCTGATTTTTTTTTTAAGTCATAGCTTATCCACCCAGATGAGACCCATCCCTGGGCTCAGTTTATTACTAAAACCTGGCGCAAATAGTCCACGGCAAGGTTCCAAAACATAGTCCATTTATCACCCCCAGCGCATATAGTCCTTAAAATCTCGTGACATCTGGTCCATCAGTGGAGCACACGCCAGTGTCTTCCACCACACCTGGGCTCTTCTTTGGTCCTCTCCTGTCCTTCTGCCAGGTCAGCCACCCCAGCTGGAGCGCAAACCCACTCTTCCCAGCAGTAACCCCCACAGCCTCTCCCCTGGGAGTTCATCCTCACCAGGGAAATATCCAGCACTCGCCCTGTTCTGTTACCTTTCATGTCTAGCAGATCGGCCCTGCCACTGCTCCCCTGGCCCTCAGCTCTCCCTGGCTCCAGCATGGGGACATCAGTGGGTAAATTCATCTGCCACTCCCCTGCCTTCAGCCTTCCCCAGCAACATCCTGTAACTTCCTTCAAGGACCTCCTCCTCCTCACTGATTCTCCCTGACCCTCTACAGCTCCAAGCGCTGCCCTGACCCCTTAACCGGCCAAACATGGATCACCTGTTCTAGCACAGGGGCACTGGACCAGCGTCATTTAAAAGGGTCAGCTTGTTACTGTGTGTCCCTTCCAACGAGCTCCTGTACCCGTTTGGGAACCTCTGTGCTGGGCCACGATCTGAGAGGGGAGAACCCCAAGGAGGGAAGAGGCTGGTTAAGCAGAACCCAGGTGGGAGCAGAGAACTCAAACTAATGGCATTAAACTGAGCAAAGGGAAAATATCATCTAGCCCCGAGGAATCTAACTCTGGAGATCTATTTGCCCAAGGGAAGCCCTGGGGAGAGTCTGTAAAGAAGACAGACCCAGCCTCCTTCATCTACAGGTAGTGGAAGGTGTGTCCCCAATAAAGCTTTTCCAGGCCTCGTTCCTAAGAGTCTCCAAGTTTTGACTCCACAGCACGTCCCTTCCCCATTGTACAGGCGTCGGGTTTGCTGCAGATCCAGCGTCTCCCTGTGCTGCACCGCGAGCTGCCGAACCAGCCCTCATCCACCAGAAAAGCACAGTCGCCGCCTCCTCTTATCGGAAACCTGTAACACAGACCCCAGG